CGGATCGCAACCCTCAGTGTCGCGCCCGTACCGGACCAGGACCGGCAATCGGATCGCAACCCTCGGTGTCGCACCCGCACATTGCTCAGCCAGTGAGCGCTGTGAGCACACCGGTCATCCCTATATAGGATCCAAACCTGCGGTGGGAGTCCTGCTGCGCTCCCAGCGCCGCACTCTCCCAAGTGCGCCACGGGCTCGGCCCCAAAAAACTGAGGTCTTTAAGGGTTGAGTGAACCTTTTGGGGGGACAAGGGCAAGAGTGGGTAGTACAAAAAAGTAAATGTGTGTGTGTATAGATATGTGTAGGTGTGGGGAAACTAGATGTTGCCCTTGGTACTAGATACATAGGTACTTTGGTAGTTCACAATAGTGTAAAATGTTGTCATGAATAATGGTAGGTCAGAAATACAGCAGGTGTGGGCCGGCCCGGTGGCGCACTGCTACAGTGCGCCGCTTGGGAGCACGGTGGCGCTCCCGCCGAGGGTTCGGATCCCACATACAGACCGGTTCCCGCTCACTGGCTGAGCAAGGTGCGGGTGCGACACCGAGGGTTGCGATCCCATTGCCGGTCCCGGTCCGGTGTGGGCGTGACACTGAGGGTTGTAATCCGTTGCCGGACATGAAAAAAGACAAAAAAGAAAAAAAAAAAAGAAATACAGCAGGTGGTGGGACAGCCACAGAAGGAATCCATTGGTTATTCCTGGAGCTATAGGGAAAGAAAGAAAGATCATGTAATCTAGCAGAAGAGAACTCAGCCCAAAGCACAGGTCATTGAAGCTGCTGTTGGTTGTGTTGTTTGAACCAGTTTAAGTGGTTTGTATTCCAGATGGACCATTACATTGATGTATGTGATGTAATGGGAGGTGTTCTGTGTTTAGTCTATGTTTTATAAAGCCTTCTTGATACTTATGAATTAAAGAATAAGTGTCCTTGGGACTGACCAGAAGATTCCTGACTAATCTTTTAATATCGTTGTTTGGAAGGAAAAGTAAATAGTAACGTTCCACAATTAGAAGTTCTATTTTTTTCTTCGTTAGGATTAAAGAAAAAACCATTTACATTCCATTTGTCCCATCTGTTCTTGGAATAAACCAAAATGGAAGAGATAACCCTTTTCTTGTTCCCTCCCCACCCCTTTTATTTGTAAAGGTAATATAACATTACCGAGAGTGTGGAAACTAGATTCTTAAACTTATCCATAATTTTAGCTTAACAAAATAACTCATTTCTGTGTACTCCTTTCTTTTTTTTTTTTTTTTTTTTTTTCTTTTTTTTTTTTTTTTTTGTGTCCGGCAACGGATCGCAACCCT